CACTTCAGAGGCTAGGCATAGGTCACAGTAACACAGCTGGGCTGTGTGGAGTCTGCACAGGGGACAGCCCAGGTAGCCCAAGAGCTCTGCATCCTGGAAGGTCTCCTCTCAAAGCTGAATTTGCCCTTTCTTCAGCATGCTTTAGAGGGCTGTGAGGTGGGGAGAAGGACATAGAAGAGAAGCTATAAAAAATTAAGTATCTCTGAACTCCCCTAGAGGTGGAAAGACATTTTGCAGATGTCTTACTATTTTCTGAAAAACCCCCACAAACTCAAAACAAAAAAAAATCCCAAGCTACAACCTTCTCCATCTAAACAAGAACAATCGGTTGTTTTTTTTTTTTCCTAGTTTGTCCTGCTGCATATCTGCACTCTTCATAGTACTAAGGCCACTTGCACTTTTTTACCCAAGTCCAAGCTTTCTCCTTCAGCACACAGCAAAAGGAAGGTGACTACAAAAGTAGTTCCTTTCAAGCAGACCTGGTAGTGAAGAACACACTCACTGGTGGCTTTCCTCCTCCCACATCCGTAATGTACATCCAGGAGATTTGTCTGTCCCTTTCTGGGAGCTCTGTGGAAGGACTCTAGCAAGAGCAGCTTCCCGGCTTGAAAGGAAACAGCATGATGTGGAGTTTGACAGCTTCTGTCACCTGTCAAACACTTGGTGACTGCCACTGCAAGTTGGCTTCTCCCCATGACATGGCATATGCAGAAGAGCTTTTGAGTTCTTCCTAGCAAACAGGGCTCTATTCTTCCTGCAGGCTGTGTTTGCTTCATGAATACCTACTTCACATGAGTTTGTGCTGGATTTGTACTCTTGAACTGTGTGTGTAGTTGGATGAAGTTTTTGTTTTGTACTCAGAGGAATACTTATTTTTTGCAGCAGCTTCAAGAAAATCACCTAGGCCAGACAATCACAAACGTGGAAAAAAATCCTAGCAGAATAGATTGCATAAAGCAAGAATATGCAAGTTAGTTAGGAATGAGACCTATTTGTCAGTGTGTTGCACTTTGACAGAACTTGATATGAAAAAGGAGGACTTTTGTTAAAACTGCTGCACAAGACCTTGGAACAGCCAGTGGGAATAGCACAGAGTGGGAGAAGGAAAGAGTGGAAAAGATCCTTGAAGTGTTTCCAGAAGCACTGTCTTCAGCTGGGTATAGATTTTCACATTCAGTAACAAAGTGGCCTGTTCCCTTGCTGACTGCTGGCAGAAATGGCAGAATGCAAAAGGCTCCCAAACCAACTCCTTTCTACTTGTACACTTACTGAGAAAAGTACTCATTTCCTGATTTTTTCTTTCCTTTTTTATCTTCCGGTTTTTAGAGGGGGGACTCAAACATTGTCCAAAAAAGAAAAGCTTCTGATTTCATAAATACTAGAAAGTAAAATGAATTGGTGTCAATTTGATTTCATTGTCTGCTTTTCCTCTTGTGCTTGTATTTAAATACTTAATTGTTTTCCTCCATTCAGGAAACCTCAAAGTGCAAATGAATAAATGTGGAAATAGCCTTTGTTGAAAGGTTGTTCTGTAAAATCACTGAATGGCTTTTCAGCTTTTCTTGGTATGGTTTTTCTGAAGCCACTTCGTTGAGGTGAATAACTTTCTATGTCTGCAACATATCCTTTATTTTGTAAATTTGAACTCTCATTGTCAAGTTCTTGGTTAAGTGAAGTGTTTTGTGTGTTTTGATAGCAGTTTTTAATTCTTTGGAGCAGTGGAATAAGGTTAGATGCAAAATGTGAGATGGATATCTCCATTTCTTGTGAAGATTTAGGCCATTAACTTGTCATGTTAGGAATGTGACAGAATAGTTCTTCCAGATTCTTTACCTAATTTCGGTGTACATATCCAGTTTGGTTTTGGTGGTTTTTTGTTGTTGTTGTGTAGAGGTTTGTTTTGTTTTGTTTTTTTGGGGTTTTTTGGGTTTTTTGGGTTTTTTTTTTGTTTGGTTTTTTTTGTTGTTGTTTGTTTTTGTTTTTTGGTTTTTTTTCTTTTTTTTTCTTTTTTTTTTTTTTTTGTGGTTTTATTGCTGTTTGGACTTTTTTTAAGTTTGTTTGGAAGCACAAGACTTGAAAGGAGTAATCTCTAGGCTAATATGTACACTGGAATTAAGTCAGACTTTGAGTAGACCCGGCATCTTTGGTATGTACACAGTGGCTTAGGAGTTGGCAGATGCTTTGATGAACCAAAGTGGAGCTCTTTATCATCAGTAAGACTATAGAAATAAGCTGTGTGAGTAACATAATCTTATTTTGATGTACCAGGTTTTATTTGACTAATTTCCCACATGATGGAATGAATGTAATCTTCACCAGCATGGATATGTAGACCTTTTCAAGATGGTTAAGAACTGTGGCGAAAAACCAAGTGGAATGACAAGTGAGGAAACTTACATTTATTTCTAACTAATTCTTCTGCTATGTTATTTCTTTACCTGATGTAAGCCAGCTTTTTAAGATAAGAAATCATCTAAAAACTGAAATCAGGTAGATGTTCTTATCCTTAGGAAAACTTGGAGTTGAGCTCAGCTTGATATTTTGGCTACTTATTTAAGATATTAGCTATGTTTAATCTACTCAAACCTATTAAGTGTATTGCTCAGTGTTAAAACTGCTTAAAGTGAGCAAAATACAAATTTTAATTTGTATTCTGATTATTCCTTTGTCAGGAGGAAGCAGCCACTTCTACTGACATCTGATTTGTATGTTAGAAAGTATGGTTTCCTGAGAGAAGAGTGCATTATAGTTTTTAACAGCAAATCTTTATTAAATGTGCCATCAGTGGTGGCTTTGGAAAGATGAGAAAGGACCCACTGTGGGGCAGCTCAGTGAAGCTAAAGATGTAAGTTCTATCCCATTGCTATTTTATATGTATTACAAGTAGAGATTTTCTTTTCCAGTCCCGGCTTGTAAGTATATATGTGCATGTGTTTGGGTTTTTTTAAAGCCAGAAGGTTTGCATGGACTTTACATGATAAATATTTTATATAGTTTTAAATTAAGAAATTGTTCAAAAACCCCAAAAGCAAACCAGACTAAAAAACTGTCACCACCACCACCCAACCAAAACCAAACCAACCTCTTTTATATGTATGGAGTTAACTACCTTAAAGTATTCAGAGAAATTTAAAAATACATACAAATTGGGCTTCTTCGTTCATATTGTTTTACTCTTGGGTTATGTGAAGGATAGAGACTTCTTCTGTCCTTAACAAATGAAGAGATAATACTGATAAATTTGCCATTTTAACTTGGTCACAGTTAAACCAGAAGTGTCTTATGCTGCTTAATGCTTTTAGTAAACATTCAGTAGTGGTTGGACTACTTCCCTGGTCTGTTTGCTTAATAAATAAGGCCTTGTAATGACTTTGAAGAACTGTATTTGCTGCTAATGGTTTCCTAATGCAATCTCTTTGATTTAAAAAGTTTTGTGAATACTTTTGGTATCAACTATAACTTAGTTGTAAACTACTAAAGTAGTTTAGTATTTTTCTTCCTCTGTGTGTTCTGCCTGCTCTTGAATACTACCTCTTTGCTTCTTTTCCTATACTTGAGATGTTATGTGTAATAGGACTTGCAGTCAGAGCATGTTTTTCAGCAGTATGTCATTACAGGATTGATCATTGCAAGACAGCTGGATTCAAACACTAACACTTGAAGTGTTCTGCTTAAAGGCTATTGCTGCACAATAATGTCAAGGTGCATTAATAACTTTCTCCCTTGCAGGATCTTTCCTTTGTCACTGAACTTTTTATGGAGGAACAACCACATTTTTTAGCACTGTTAATGTTGTTTAAGTTAGGACAACCTTTTCTATGGGTAGAGGATGAATCAATTAGATACAGAAGTTTGAAAAACAAGACCTGCTGTAACTTTTTTTTTAAATCATTGAATAGTTTTTCATGACAGTAAAGAATGGTGTAAGAATGGCTAATCAGAGAGGTGAACCAAAAAAAGTGGGATGAAGAAACCAGCTGCAACTGTCCCAGCTCAGTCTGACCAAATAGCATTTTCCACTATGGTTTCTCCTTTATTTTTAGAAGTCCGCTTCTTCCTTTTCCTGTGCATTGTTTTCCTTGTCATACATTTCAGACATCCTTGACCTTGTTATTGTTTCAGACATCAGTCTTGTTTGTCTCTCTAAAGTCCATGTACACATGATAGAAACTCCTGGGATCCTGGAGTTGTCTGTTTTCCTTTCATAAACTTCTATGACTTGAGAACATAACAGTCAACATTCTGCTAAACATTGAATCTCTTGTTTGTTGGAAGAGATTGATTGAGGATAATGGAGAAGTGCTGTTTGAATCTGGCACTAATCTGGCATTGTCATCTGTGTGTCAGTGATCCAGGGAGGGAAGGACTAAGTGAAAATGGAAGTGCTGCCATTGATTTATCTGCACATGTTGAGTTGATCATCACTGGCAAAATACCTGTTTTATATAAAAGCAGGTATTTTATGGCCTACTCAGTAATTGTTATTGGTAAACAGTGACTCTTTGCTGTAATTAATTTCAGATTTCTGTGCCTTACTAAGGTTTGCTAGTCTTCTGAATAATTATTTGTAAAAAATATAAATTAGTTTATTACGATCATCACAAGAACTCAACAGAGCTTTGATACTGATATAACGAAAGTAAAGGAGGCCATGAAAACAGCCTGGTTCAAGCAGGGCTGTTTGGTCAGGTTTTGAGAATATGTGGCGTTGCAGACTCCATAACCTCTCTGCCAGTGTTTGAACACTGAAGAACTTCTGCTTGTTCTTAAAATACCATGAAAGGGGGCTAGTCGAAAGACTTTTGAAAAATTTGGTAGCATGTTACATTTCCAATACTTTCCTTAGAGGAGTAGTTTCTGAATGTTAACACCATGTAGATGTACCATAATGTTAACTGGTCCTCAGTGTTGGAGTCTGAAACAGAAGTCTCTCTGAGGAACTCAGAGAGAGATTAACAAGCTGCAGTGAGAGTTGAAAAACATAGTCCTAAGTACCAATGTAGAAAACAAATCTTAGAAACAAGTCTCTGTGAAAGTTCCAAAACATAGTTTTAGACATAATAAAAATATAGTAAGAATATTGCTTACATTTTTAAATAGAACAGATAGACTATATGCGTAGTTTATACGTAGACTTTCGTACTAAGAAACTGGAATTCTAATAGGTTAAGAAGAAATGCTTGAGATTCGTGTTTTTACCTTGTTGGGTAATTTGTGTATAAGAATCTATGCATTGGGGAGAGACGCTGTATCTTGCTTCTCTCCCCTCACTGCCATCATGATCCCCCGAAGAAGACGGGAGCTGTGGCTGCAACATCGGCCCTCCCGGAGCCTTGCATGAGGAGCTGCTTCTACTTCTAATTGAGATTTTACTTCTATTTAGGACTCTATGCCGAAAACTTCTAGCACAGACTTTAACACTTGGGATTTTTTGAGACTGATGTGCCTTTACAATAAACAACTTTATAGCAACTAATAACTGCTCAGCTCTTTTAAAGAAAAGAAAACCCGACACTCAGTAGCAGAGGAATGTTTGTGAACTGCCCGCCTGGCATTGCAAACTTTACTTTTCTGGATTTCTCTTTTAAGCTACATTTTATTTGTTCTGTCTTCCAGATGCAGATTCGGTGTCTAGTTAACTTGAAAATAAGGCTGCTCTAGCTGTCAGCCTTTTGAAAAGAAGAAAGGCAGACATCTAGAAAATGTTTTCCTGTATGCTTATGTATTTTTTTTATCTTTTAACTATTTAAATAGAAGACATGGAAATGTGATTATGTATTTTATTAATTTTTTTCTGTTTTTTTTTAATTCCAGGTCTGCAATTTATGTTCAGTCTATCCCAGTTAGGAGAGCTTTTTTTGTGATTTTTAAGTTTGGTGCTGTCAGCCCCATGTGAACAAACCAGAACAAAAAGTGCACTGGGTATTAGGAAACAATGCCACGGAAGAGGAAAAGTGGTGGGAATCCTTCTCAGAAGAATGGCAATTCTGACAGAACTACTGTTGCTGTATCCCAGGGGGACCCAAGCCACTTAATGACACAAGCAATGCATTATGTCAATAAGGAAGAGCTCTTCAACAGCATGTCAGAGATGTTTTCTGACCTAGATCCTAGTGTGGTTTATATGGTTCTGTCTGAATGTGATTTTAAAGGTAAATAATACACAGCTGACATGAATTTTGTTTCATGTGCAGATAGCTCTTAACTAGTGCAACTCCAGGAAGGTTGGTGTGGGTGTTGCAATCATATTTGTGAGTTTAACTTTTAATAAGTAGGTGAATAATAATATTTTGAAATTTTGCAACCATGTAAGATTCTCGAAGTTTAACAATGTTTCTGTGAGGCTGGTAAATGGAGCAGTGTGCTCCTCAAATGGAGGTGCTGTTTAGAGTGGATTGTTCTGTGACAGAGAGCAGGCAGTGATGGAGTTGTGAGGAGAATCTGGTTTTTCTGATTAGTTTTGTGCCCTATCTGCAAGATGCCTAAGCAGTTTCTGCAGGAGGGGTATTTTATGTTCTAGATCACAATTTTTTGCTGGTATGCCAATATGTGGTCCTGGCAGCATTTGCTTTTCCTTAAATAGTTGAACTGAGCTTTTGTTTTTCATTTATTTTGCATTGTCATCTTACTGTGTCCACTGAGGATTAGTTTCTGTAGGAGAAATTCTGTTTGCTGTGTTTAGTTCTCTGCAGCCTTGCTGGAACTAAAGCAAGGAATTAGTTTCTTTCCCTACGTTCTGCCAACCTACATACCCAACTCTCCTGGCAGACTATTTTCTTATTTATGCCCAGTCCGTCCCATTCCTTTGTGATTTCAAAATTCCTCTCTATGCAAGGTCATTTGCTTATGATAAAAGTACTGCATGAGGTGCAGGATAGCAATGTCTGAGGAGTTACCTGTCAGGGGAATAAGTCATATATGGAGCATTTTAATCAATTTGTATTCATATGATGTGATTAACTGAGATTATTGTAAGAATATATGCAAAGAAAGCAGATTTTGACATTTTTTTTATATGTATGAAAGCTAGGTAACCATTAAAAGGACTGTTTTTATTACCTAAATTCTACAGAGTTTATAACTCAAGGACAAATGTGAGAGTGCTGTTACAATTGTTGTTCATTTTAAAATCGAATTTGATGGAATTACTGATTCTTGCTTTGATCTCTTAATAAGAGTTATATATCTTAATAAGATTCGCCTTTATCATAATTACAGTTTTATCTAAAGCTTATTGGAGAATGCAGTAAACATGTAGAGTTCATAGCCTTGTACTGCTAACAGTAGTTTAAAACTGGAAAGGTTAGCATATTTAAGTGCAGTAAGTTGTTTTCATACAGTAGAGAAGCTGGAAGGATGACAAAGATTTTGTTTAATGAATGTGGACAGAGTTGTACTGATGTGAGCTTAAAGTTTTTGCTACCCTATATTTCAGGAACACAGAAGCTTAGCTGTAGGACTCAGATGATGTTTGTGCTTGCTTTTCATTTTGTTCATGTTAATCACCCTCTGCTCCATTTAGTGGCTTTACAAGGAACTAATGCAGTTATTGGACTTTTCAGGCTGTATTAGATAGGACATTTTAAAGTGGGCCACAGTGAACATACTTTGCATACTTTTATCTCTTTCATCCTCTGTAGAGTTTCCAGTTCATTTTACACTATTCCAGCTATATGAGTTAGATTAGAAATAAGTATCCATTTAAACATCCAGCTCTGGTATTTTTCCAGTTAAAATAGGTAATTTTTAGACAGTATTTCCATAGTAATTTTAAAATTTATTTGGTTGTTATTTTTCAATATGTCTATATTGAGTTCTGCCTTTACTTCTAATGAGAAGTGGATCAAGGGAGTTTCAGAAGCTATGTTTAAAGGTGAATTGTGAACTGTCTTTTGGTTGTTTCTTTAGTTGTAATAAATGTTTCTTCAGGTAAAAAAATTACATGCACATCAGCTTAGGTTTGTTTAGATGACCGTGCTTTATTCTGTTTTCTTACCCAACAGTAGAAAATGCTATGGATCATCTTCTAGAGCTGTCCACCCATGCCAAAGGAGTAGCATCTTCAAAAACCTTGGGTTTTGATTTAGCAGCATCATCATTACCTCTTGTTAATCAGCAAAGATCTATTGCAAATGAAAGAATGAGGGGAGGTTCTGGAGCAGCAATAGAAAAGGTCCCGTCACCTGGTGTGCAGCTGACTGGAGACCTGAATTCCTTACTAGAAACTGCCTTTCAGAGTTACAGCTTGAGTGAGGAATTGCCTAATTCTTCAGATGACCAAATAGTTGAGCACCCTGTGGAACATGATGGTTTTACCGAATATCCTGAGTGGGAAAAGTCAGATTCGTTTTGCAATGCCCTACTTTTTCCACAGCAAGCAGAGACAAATAATGTGGTTTTAGAAAACTCCTGCTGTTCCCAGCCACCAGTGAGTCAGCTGAGCATCCAGGCAAGCTCATCATCTGCATCAGACAGTTTTGCACAGATACTGGAAGATTCTGATTTGTTGGAAATACATGTTCAACGTGATGTGGCTTCAGAAGTATATAAACTATCAAATGGAGAAATATGTGAACATTCTGATCAGACGCAAGATACTGTTTTGGATCAAAGTAGTGTGACTGCTGCCTCTTGCGGGTCCTCCCAAAAACCTATGGAACTTGGAGCAGCTGTTACTGGAGATCCTAATTCCAGGTGCCTGGAACAACATGAAGATGCAATGAATGCCTTTAGCAGCTACCAGAGTGCTTCTCTTCCAGAGGCGTGTATCTCTCCTGAAACTTCCAGTTTCAAAACACAAAAACCTGCAGATACTCAGCAAACTCAGCAGGGTTATAACTTAAATTTTTCTACACCATCAGGTCAATCTCAACAACACTGGAATCTCATGGCTCCTGTGTTTTATCCATCCAGTGGAACTCACAGCTTTGTAATTCCTGTGGCTGCCAGTCCAGGGCAGTGGAGACCTGTTTCTGACTGTAGAACTTTGGAAAAAGGACTTTTTCTTTCCTCCCCAGTGGTTTCAAATGCCTGGGATGGCAACCCTTCTCTGAAGGTATGGGGAAATCAAGATAGAAACTCAAAATTGAACCTCTCACAAGCACAACAACCACGTGTTTGTCACATGATGAGAAAAAAGATGCAACTTATAGGTCCAGTACTTGTCCTTCTCAGAGGTGTTCCAGGATCAGGAAAATCGTATTTGGCAAGGTAGAACATTTATATTGTGAGCTTCTAAAAAAAATTGCTTAATTGTGTACAGGTTTTGGCACAGGCAGAGAGAATTTTCTGACACATGTAAATAGTGTAATGTATAAACCCTAAATTGCCAGCTAAACTGCACACAGTGTGATGGGTAATCATAATTGGTGAGAGCAGAGTTGCTTGTAGGTCCTTTCCTAGTGGAAATTTAAATAGGAATGATGAGCTTTAACTTCTGTCACTGAACAGAGGAGTTGGTCAGTAGAGCATCATTGCTGTAGTGTTAAGTCTGCTGTATTCTTTCAGTCCCAGTTTATTTAGAATGTTTTCTTGGAGTAACACTGATGGAAATACGACAGCTGTTTACAGGCAGAAATTCCCCTTTCACTGTACAACTTTTTTTTATAGGTAGTATATGTGAAGCTTCTTGGGGGGAATTTTTGATTTCTTACTCTCTAAAGGCCTGGTTTGCACTTAGACTCCTTTTGACTGACACCTGAAACATTTGATGCAATTAAGACAAGATATTTGTCAGTGTGAAAGTATGTCATTACATATAGATAGAAAAATATCTCCCTTGTTTTGAAATTAGAGATTTGTAGGGAAACTATATAAACTCTCTCCCCTACATAATCCTCAGCCTTTGGAAAAAACAAAGGAGGGAAATTATTATAGATTCCATTTGCTTGGAAACTGACTTTTTTTTCTCCTCTTACCTACATTTGCTGCTTCCATTACAATTAATTTTGGTTTACTGCAAGAGACTAAAAAAAGTATATATGGTAGTGACATTGGAACCTGGGAGGAGAAGGGGAAAAAACTATTTTCTTGATCTTTCACAGGAATCTGCTTGAGGATAATCCAGGTGGAATCATTCTTAGTACTGATGATTACTTTTACAAACATGGACAATACCATTATGACCCTGATTGCTTAGGGGAAGCACATGACTGGAACAGGAAACGAGGTGAGATATAAATAAGGAATTAGCAGGTGAGATATAAATAAGGAATTAGCTTGCTCATTTACAGTTCAGTGCTTGTGTGGTGTTTACAAATCTGCCTGGCTTGTTACGTGACAAGTATTCATCACATCGTAGAAGTATTTTTTAATATGTGCAGAGAAAGAATATGAGCACAAACTCAGAAGTCATCTGTTCATTGTGTGTTTTGCAATTAGAAATGCCAGTGTCTTTGTGAAGAGTGTATTTTGTCCTCAGATTTTATCATGGTATGTATTTTGGGTAGTGTCCCATTTCCAGAGTGGTTGCCTACACCATCTCCCAGAAATATTTTTTCTGAAATGATCCATAATATGCATATATAGTAAGTAATGAGGATACATATAATACACAGATATCTTCCTGCTCTTTGTTATCTTTTTTCTTCTCTTGTACACAAAATTGTTGTCAAATCTGAACAAAATCAGAAGAGCAAGACAGAATAAATAATTTTTTCCCCTTTTCATAATTGGGTAGGGGTTTTTTTGGCAGTGACCTATGCTAAATTCACCATAGAACATTTCTTTTTAAGCTTTTACTTGCTAAATTTGAACCACGATCCTTTTTCTGCTGTCAAATTTCTACCAGTAGAGAAACTAATAAATAAATGTGGGATTCAACAAGAACTGTGATTGTTCAGACACATTGTAAGATGGCTACAGAAACATGGTGCTGTATCTCAAAGTTAGTGGTTCTATACATTTCATTACTGTGTAATTAAATTACAATAATTATTGTGGTTTTTCATATTTTATGCAGTTTACAGAGTGGACTAATCTTAAGACTGTTATAAAGCCAAGAATTTTGTATGCAACAAAGAAGTCCACTTTAAGGTGATCATGTAGTTTTTTTAGTTTAATTTACTGATTGATTAGTCATCTTGGTGCATTTTACATCTGCATTTTCATTCCTTATCATACATACGTTAATTCAAAAGCTAATGCCATATCTCAGTAGCTTTACATGTGAGGGGGGGATTTCTGAAATAGAGGGCCTTGAAACAGATTAAGCTATGGCAAGAGTTCTTCACACAGTGGTTAATCATTATGGATTATCTACGTAAAAATAGAAAAAATTAGATAATTAATATTAATATTATATTCACCCAATGTAATGAAATTAGCTGTATTACATTGTTTTGTACATGTGTATTTTTCAGCCAAAGAAGCATTTGAAATGAGAATCTCTCCTATAATAATTGACAACACAAACATACAAGCATGGGAGATGAAGCCTTATGTTATTTTGGTTAGTATTACAATTTGACCAGTGAAAAGAGATTATTTACTAGCATGGCAACAACATATGTTTTAAAATGGGAGTGTCTTTCTTGGTCTAGCTGCTATTCTGCAAGGAAGTCTGGAGTAAAATTAAAGAAGTGTTGCATGGGATCATATTGCCCAGTGTCGTGTTGTGTGACTCAGTGTCATGTGTCATGTGGTATATGAGCATTAACCTGGCCTAGTTACCAAAAGCCAAAGGCAAGTGCTTTGTTCTTGGGGCCAAAAGCAAATGTTGTTGAAGAAACTGAATTTTGTTCCTCTTTTATATGATCACTAAAATTAGAAGCTACTTTAAAAATGTAATCAACACTAATGAATGAGTGGTGTGATGCTCTGTAAAACTTGAAAACTCAGTTTCATCCGAAATATGACGTATAGGTAGATACCAGTTGGAGGCTAGAGTTACCAAATAATTGCTAGCTTGCTTGAAGTTGTGCAGATTTACTTAATACTTTTTGTTGAAGTGATCCCAGCTTTTCACTCAATAGTTTCTAAATGGGCATCAGCACTTTTAGAGTCTAGAGCATATTTTGCTATTGATCATTGACCATATTGGTTGGTAGTTAGAACAGCATTATTTAACTGAAATACTACATTGCAAAAAAAGTATTTTGGGATTTCTCCTTGCCTGTTACAGAAACACAGCAGAGAGTGTAGTACATGTAATTGACAGCGTTTGAGCACATAGCCTACATATGCTGCATATGCTGTTAATGGATTAATGAACAGTGAGACTTTAACACAGATAGTTTTTGTTAATAAAGTGTTTATTTTATTATCCTTGCATTTATTAACAACTGTTCAGATTAGCAGTTCTTTTATAAGTTATGTCTTTCATTTTGTGGTATACTGAAATTAAGATGCAACAAGAGTTCTTTCAGAAGTGCAGTGTTTGGTACATCGATAAGAATTTTTTCTGAAAACAGGAACGGGGAGAAACCGCACAGTACTTGCAATGTTTCATCTCATTAGACTTTAGGCTCCTTTTCTGTCATGATGAGACTGGCCTATATAGGAATCATTTACTTGCAGCTTGGTCACGTTCCCATGTGGCAGGAAGGCACAACAGCGGTGCTAATGTAATTGAATTGCTTGTTTTGGTCTTGGTTCACATCTAGTCAGCTCTGAATGTAAGCTGTGCACTTTCCTCTGTCTTGGAGAGGCTGTATATAAATGTGCATGCTCTATCTGGAAAGAGGAGACGTTTTGCAGTATTGTCTTGGGGAAGACACATCATGGCACACGTTTAATTTTATGGTGAGAAATACATGTATGTGTTTTAATAAACCTCAGTTATATAAATCAAAGTGCAACACTGAACAAAAGTGTTATTCCAAATGTTTAATAGGTATGAAAAAAGCAAAAAACAGCTTTGAAGAGGCAAGCTAGGCATACAGTGTGCTTTGTCATAGAAATAAGAAATGGGTGATGTGGTATGTTCTGTTTTATCTCTCTTTTATTTAGGCTCAGCAGTTCAAATACAAAGTAATGTTCCGAGAACCAGACACTTGGTGGAAGTTTAAACCAAAAGAACTTGAAAGGTAAGAATGTAAAGGAAAATGACATACTGGACAGTATAAGCTATGATTTTTAAAAAGGTATCGCTCAGCACAATGGCTAGTGAAGTAGCAGGGTATCTGTCAAAATTTTTGTAATAATAAGTAGGCTTTTAATGATATTTTGTGGACTTTTGTATGTATGTATTATAAGATCTTTTGTCACTTCAGTTACCTGCAATAGACACTGTAATGTTTTCATTATTAGAGTTCTTTGCATGTAAAGTATAGTGACTGTTACTTTGGGTTACTGAGGTTGGGCTTTTTTTGTATCCTGGTCTGTTGCTTTAGTTGAAGTGTTTCTGCTGTCATTGAAATTAGGGCAGTTAGCACCTTGTGGCACAAGAGGGACAAACCTCTGTGCATCATCATTGATGCTTAGCTCTTCTTTAGCAGGACCATCTATTACTTAGGACTGAAATCACCAAGACATAAACCCTATGTAAGTGAATAATAAAACATAAGAAAACATAATGAGAAAGTTGGCTAGATGCCAGATTCAAATGTTATGCTCACTGTCCAAAGTGAAGGCTTATGTCCCTGTGGGGAGGGACTGCAGCTCTTTAATGTCCTTTTTATGACTTGGATGCTGGGACAGAGTGCACTCTTAGCAAATTTGTAGGTGATATGGAACTGAGCAAGAGTAGTTTATTCAGCCTTAAGCAGAGATCATTGAAGAAGAATCATGTTGTTGTATTCAGCTACCTTTTGAAAGATTATAGAGAAGACTAAAAAGAATTGTGCAGGGATAGGAGAAACCAAACAAATTGGAACTTTTGATTACATGAAAGAAAAAAGCCTAACATTTATTTTAAAGGTGGTTAGATACTGAAAGAGTTTGCCCAGAGAGTTTGTAGACTTTCAGTCATTTTTTGATATTCAAAATCAGACAAAAAGCTCTGGGCAAGCTGATCTAGTTGTACTTTCTCTGAGTAGGAGACTGACGGCTGAGACTTCCAGAGTCCCTTCCAACAGAAGTTATTTTGTGATTTTATAGTATCTGTTGTCATCTGAATTTGCATGTTTAGCTTAGGGTTGGCTGCTTTTTAAGTGAGCTAAGATAGATTATTTTCCTTCTTAAAATAAAAGTTAAACCTTTTCTTCTGTATTTTCAATTTCTCTTTTACTATCCTTGGCCAGATTAACTTGTTCTAGGTGGAACTTCAGCAAGAACACAGTGCTAGGTGGTGCTTAACAGAGTTAGTGAAAATTTCTGGTGAAAGGATGTCCAGAATAGTAGGTGAATAGGTTTTCTTCAATGCTCAATGAGTTCAGTTCAGCAAAACCAAAGAAAGAAGACTGAATTCAGAAGTCTTCTGTACCCAGTTTGATATCCTGCATCACTGTCAGGATCTGATATAGTGTGTTTTCTGAAACTTATTTGAAGAAGATGCATTATTGGTACAGTTTTAGATTTTAGTATTGTGCAAAACATCCAATTGCAGTATAGGGAGACCAGATGGGGTGAAGAAGTGGAGCAGCAATTTGTCTGATATGTCCTGTTTACAACACCTTAGTGTACTGATACAGAAAGAATTGCTGTTTCACAGATTTTCACCTGGCTCCCTGAATTCTTTGGTTACTCTTGCTAACTATTAAATTTGTTAAATTATTACTAAATTATTCTCTTTTGTCATTGTAATTCAAAAATCTGAAATGTTCCTTTTTTGTTTGTTTGTTTTCAATTCATAGGAGAAACATTCATGGTGTATCTAAGGAAAAGATCAAAAGAATGTTGGAACGGTATGAACGCTGCCTTACTGTTAGATCAATATTGAATTCTTCAGTTCCAGACGAATCAGAAGCTGCTGGCTGGAGTGAAGATCCGTGTCAGGAGGAAAGCCAGAGGTTAGATTCTTCCACTAGCTCTGTAGCATCAAATAAAAGGCTACAAAAGCCTTTTAGCTTCTTGGCAACAAAACCTGGGTAATAGTGTCGAACAGTGAATGCATTAAAAAAGATGGTTAAATACCAAAAACATTCCCTACATAGTTTTCTTAATTTTTAAGAATTTCAGGATTTTCCGAAATGAACAGTCAAGGGATCTAGTCAACTTTCCAATCTTTTGAAAGTCTCCCATTATGGCTGTGTTACTTTTCAAGAAGCCAGTCTTGGCTGAGTTTCTGTTATCTTAGAAATGTTGTTGGATATACACTATAGATACAAAGCACTTTAAATCTGTAAATTGTTTTTAGAAGAATGTAGTGCCAAATAAGAGCAAAATACTGTTTCCAAGTTTGTATGTTGATGTTAGATTATATCTTTGTGATAGAAGGTGAATTCTTTGTGCAGTAGTAACAGGTTACCTACTTGCTCTTCAGTATACTTGCCTTAAACTTGCCCAGGTTTCTGTTGGTGTGTCCAGGACTGTTCTGTAGTTGCCAGTATGGATCATGCAGTGTATTGTAATGCACAGTGTTGTAACTCACTAGATGTATTGGAAATGGTAGATTCTGTGACCCCTGTGGTGTCCTGTGGCCTGGTCCCTCTCCCCTCTGGCCATACCCAGTTGGCCGAGATCCAATTTCTCCCCACCCCCTTACAGACCCTAGAAAAGAGCTGTGCCCCCTGACCTCGCCCTCTTTTCGCTCCTGGAGGACCACAAGAAATAAACCTCAGCCTCTCCCCAGGGGGGAAAGAGCCTCTTTTGTTATCTTTTATTCACGTTCATGTAGTAGATCCCAGAGGCTTCCTCCTAACGTCTGAGCTAGTCGGGAACTAGGGTAAAGTCTCAGGGAAGGCTACAGCACAGTGTCATGGCTCAGGAACAGCACTCCCCATTCCAGTGCCCCCACTGAGACTCACAAACCACACATTGCTTGTTCACTCCCCCTTCCTCTTCCCATTCCTGCTCCAGCAACAACAGGAGGTGGTCTAGAATAACCTCCGTGTTCTGGCCAAAACTAGGACACATAGGAAATCAGATTTTTTTTTCAGTTATTTCACTTGGGTTTTGCATGTGTGATGTATTTGAAATGATAATTAATGGAATGTAGTTGATTGTGAAAAATGGTTTGACAAGAAAAGGCACATTCTTAGTTAATGTCTAGACTGTCTTTAGCATTAAGCCAACAGGAGAGAGCAACAGTCATTAGATAAAAGTATATTTACCAGACTTGCTGATATGAGTGAGGAAATGTCTGGCAGCAAAGTGCTCTGATACAAAACTGAATGCTGGAAATGGGATGGGGATGAGATTGACTCCTGAGAAGGTGCTCTTAGCCCTGTGCTCTAGTAAGAAAGGGAGACTTACTAAAAAAAGTTCATATTTGCTTAGCTCCTTTTTTATTGAGGAATGTTGGAGTTACAGCTAGTCATAAATTTGTTTTCCTCTCACTAGGAGTCTAACTAGGTTAAACTCTCTAGTTCTAACTGGAGTTGAAAATGTGGACAAATGTTTTAAGAAGGTTTGAAGTGGGTTTACATTTCACTTCAATTTGTCTTTCAGAAATAGAGAAATACATTCTGATGTAAAGGAAGAAGAATGTTTTGCTTCTGAGGTGGAGCCTATTGAATTAACTGAAGTTGATAAAACTTCTCCTGGTATTTCTCTAACATCAGGAAGTAGTTGTGATTCTGAGCATTTTCAGAAAAAGGAAAAAGAAATGGAAGATAACTCAGTGGAACACAATTCTGAGACCAGCACTGTTCAAGATGACTTGGAAATTAATTTATCAGATTGCACCAAAAAAGAGCTGCCCTTGGAGAAGAAAGAAGAAAAGGGATTAAAACCAGAAAAAACTGAAGCAGAAACGGATGAGGTTGATGTGATCCCACCTGAAGAGACTGTGAACTTACACACAGGTGGAGCTGAGGAACACAGTGATAACAGCAGTCTCAAAGTTCAAACTGCAGTTGAACAATTGGACGAAATATGTATGGAACCAAAATCAACACAAACGAGTAACACAGTGGAAACAAGCAGTTTGGCTTTTGATGCATCAGGAAAACCAGAACTGCTAAACTTTCTGGGTGACTGGCCCGTGGAACAAACAATGGGACAGAGAGTCAAAAGATCTAGAAGACTAGAAAAATCTCCTTTGAAGAGTGATAAGGAAGGTGAAACTCCCAGTCAGCAGCATTCTGAGATAGGTAAAGAGCAAGTGGGCCTGCCTGAGACACGTACTGTTGAGAAGGGACATGAAGATGAAAGTCCACCCTGTAGCTGTTACTCTGGTAGTTCAGATACAGTTACACCAGAATTGCAAATGTTAGGATGTTGGCCTGTCTCAGCCTCATTAGAACAGAGACAACAAAGGTCAAGGAGAATGAGAAAGACAAATTTAAATCAATGTGATGAAGACAGAAATACTGATGATGACACTGATATGAATGCTCTTGAAACTGTACATGTGATTCATGGGTCGTCTGTGAACACTGGAGAGGAACCAGATATAAGGAGCTTGCCTGTGCACCAAGAGGAAATAGTAGCTAGTGAAACAGTAAGTGAGGAAAAATCCCAGCAAAGTAAGAGAACAAGAAAACATCACAAATTAGCCCTCACTTTTACAAACAGCTGCTTGCCACATCCCAGAGAAGAGGACCGCTTGTCTAAACTTAATGTGGCAGAAGAGAATCAGGACACAAACTTATGTAGGCATAAAAGTAGCCATTCACAGACTGAATCACAGGACTTTGCTCTCCTGTGGAGGTTAGAAAAGAAAATGCTTTTTCCTGAGACAGCAAAAATATTGCATGGCAGGCTAGATGGCTTCAAACCCAAAGATACAGATAATGCTTCAGATTCTCAGGAAAAAATACCCTATCGAGTTACGTATGATAAAAGCACTTTTGTGGAGGAAAGTGAGCTTATCAATATTGATGAGTCTGAAAAACTAGATATGCTCTGTAAGCTCTTTGAGTCTGTTTCATTTGAAGCTCTGAAAGATCTGTATGAAAGATGTAACAAAGACATAGACTGGGCCACAGGTCTACTGCTAGATGAAACGTTACGTAAAGCTGTTGATACTGAAAGCTTTCAGGTAAGTGAAGCTGAGCCAGTGGTCGCAGACCTTGATTTCAAGGCAAGTACAGGCTGTGGTGAGAATCTCAAAGACTGCAAACAAACCCCACAAGTACTTGGGGCTGGTGGTACCTTTGAGGCTTTAGAAGACAAGAACTCATCACTCAGCATTGCAGAAAGTAGGGCTGCCAAGACAGCTGTGACAAGTGCTGATGTGTCTGACTCATTCACTGCTACCTCATTGGATAATTCAGTGGAACTGAAAAATTCTGTGGATTCAGCCCCTAGAACTGACACAAGCAACTCAGCAGCAGGTATCATTGAGCTGTCTGTTTCAGGAAAGCAGATGGGAGAGAGTGAGAGTCCTCTTGAAGAAACTGTAAATAAGCCATCACTTTCACAACTTGATGCAGGTTTGCCTCATGATCCTAACACAACTTCTACGAATTTGAAATCTGAATTAAGCACTGAAAGTGACAGTAACCCTTCAGAAAGCAATGCTGAAAATACCAAAGGGACTGGTTTGTTACTGGAAATGGATTGTTCACCTCTGGTTGGTCCTAGAAGCAATAAAGAACTGGAGATGGATAAAAAAACTGAGGAGAATTCCAGGGAGATACGTGGTAAAGAAGAAATTGAAACTCCAAGCTGGGCTGCAACTAAAACCAAGAGACAAAGCCCTGTACTAGCATCACATGCAGCCTTCAGTATAGATTGCCTAGAACTAACACTGCCTCCTGAACTGGCACTGCAGCTGAAAGAGATATTTGGACCTGTTGGCATTGATGCAGGTATGATGTAATTATATACATGTTCTTATGAAAAAAAATTATTAAGGGTAGGAAAGCTTTCTTTCTTTGTCTGTGCTTTTTTCCCTTCATGTTTGTTTTTTAGGGAATAGATTCCTGTAATTCCTCATGATACTGGTGGTTGATGTTGTTAATGCAGAAATGAAAGTGAACTAAGCATGGCATAAAATATAAGTGCAGTAGTGCACTTCTGACTTTGTCTTCTGCTTTTGTCTTTTTGTACATGCACATAATCTGAAATGAAAAAACATTGGCTTATTTGCATTCTGGGCAACCGGCCTTTGAGCTTATATTCAGATTCTGAAGAAATATTTAGATAATAAGGAATATGCAGATTGTAGCTGATTAGGAAAGAAGTAAGGGAAGAAAAACCTTTAGGCATCAGTTAAGTTGGGGAACAAGAAAATGGATGGTTAAGGGAGATGAAGTGTGGCTTAAAAGATGATAACAGACCAGTCTGCTGGGAAATTATGGCTAAGGAAGCCATAAGCAGCTTGAACATGCATCTCAAAAGTTAAAGAGTGGTAGAATGATGAAAAAAAAATAGGAGGAATATACAGCTTGATGTTTTTCTCTCTTTTTTCCCCACACTTTTTTTTCTTGTTTCCATCTTTCATCTTGAAGATTGCTTTATGTGAAGCCCTGGATACTGATTTATTGGTGGGTTTGATTGCTGGCCTCTTTGCCTTACATGCCTACCTTCTTAAAAAAAAAGTTTGTTTTTTTATGGCAGAAAAGTGTTTTATTGTGCTTGAAGTATGCCCAAAATTTTTATTTGACACATCCATACTTCCTGCTTTTTTTAAAATTTTTATTTTTGAAAGGGTGAGAAACACCTTTTTAAGGAAAAAGAGCTTTTGTTATGATACCATTATAATTTCTGCTGTTTCCTTTAGAATTTGGGAGGATGCTTAGAGTTTGTTTCTGGGAGTTTGTGTGTTGGAAAGGAGGGATGTGACTGCTGTTGGGCTATGCTGTACAGAAAAGCAGTTGCCATGTGGATGGCAATGGAACAGGGGGAATCACAGTTCCATGGATGAAACTGTTGTTTTCAATTAACAATGGCTTTGTAAAAGAAGAGTCTGCTAGAAAAACAGAAAACAGGAGGAAAAATACAGTTGTCCAGGTAGTCCTATTTCAACAATATACAGTTAACATTAACTTGCTTCTTTCCTACCCTTTCAGAGCTTTTGAACACTCGAAAACAATTTCTTTTTTTGTTTAGAATTTTTTTTTCAGGCATGACCAGTTTATTTAGAATCTCCAAAGTTAAAATTAGTAAGTCTAGTATACTGTACTTTAATTGCTTATGTAAGTTCTTATAGCATGTTTTTAATGAATATATTCTCTTTGTTCCACAAGGTTCACTAACTGTTGAGGATTGTGTGGTTCATATTGATCTGAATTTGGCAAAATTGATTCATGAAAAATGGAAAGAATCCATTCTGGTCAGTAGATTTCTTGCTTATGATACAGTGTTGCATGCCTGTATTTTGTCAGACCATTTGTCTCCATATGTCTTGGTCTAAAGGTGTTATCTTTGCAAGAACAATGATAAAATGTAATAGTAGTTTGTAAAATGTGGGGAGTCTATCAGTATGTCATAATCATTGGAGCTATTTGAAGACATTTTAAGTCCTGTCATGAGTGCCTTATCATGAAAACAAGATTCTTTAAAAAGAACCATTTCACTACGAGATTGATGAAAAATTCCATTGGTCAAAAATCCTTACTGCTTTTTTGACCTGTAAAAAGAATTATTTTATGAATTATTCTCTATACAAAACATCTCTGTATGCAGTAATTGAGATGAGCTCTCTAACCCGTGTTCCTTTACAGCCCTATGAAACTTGGAATGCCTTTTGGCAAAATTTTTGTTTGGTTTATATAGTTGAGGCTATGAAGTCTTAGCAGTGGGGCATGTTTCTTTGGTTTGATGTGTTTTTAAAAAGGTAATTCTAGCTTACAAATTTCACTTCATAATTCTTTTTCCTAAATATATTTAAATACTGAATCTTTGAGAAGTATTGTGAGAAATTGCTTTCATTAGAAGCTAACACTTGGAAAGCTTTCCTGCAAAATTCATAGCTTATTACATTAATGATTTTACTATTTTTATGTAGAAGCGTCAGAGGAGAGATGAATCGTGTAAGTTGTCTGCAGAAGGTATGTTGTGTATTTCTTGTAATTGTAAAAATACTTAATGTTCATTATACAAGTAATTAATTATTTGAAACTTGAGGTTGCAAATACTCCCATCAATTGAAAAATGATGACTATTTATTAGGCTAAATTTTATTGCCTTTGGATCCATTTACCAATGTCTTATATAGGTGTAGGGGAAGAGAGAGAAGTTAAGCAGAACTACTAGTTCCAGATAAAGCCTGTAATTTTATGTTGTTCAGAAAACTCATAGAAGCTCTGGTTGAAGCAGACAGCTGTTTGGTAGGAATTCTCTGTGGCAAGAAAAGGAGCATCCAGAGAATTACTAGCAAAGTACGATTTATGCAGGTGAGGAAGAGAGGTCAAGAATACATTCACATATTGTTGGTCAGAGGTGATTTTAGCAGGAAGATGGATGCCGTGTTCAAAAAGTGTTAATATCTCTTGCAATCCAGTTTTCATTCAGCTCCTAGAAGAAATGTCTTTCTATTGCAGAACACCACTGCAGACTTGGATTGCAATGGGGGTGCAACTAGTGACCAAAAAATGCTGCTGCAATTAACTTAACATTAACTTATAGAAGCATAAAACCAGATTGTTAAGCATCTGTCCTTAAATTGTAGAAGAAAGGCAGGTAAACATATGAGTGATTCTTTTATAAAAGCAAACAACCCCCCACTTAATGTTTGTGCAAGGTGGTTTTCAGATGTAAGGTATGTCTTAGCACTTGAAAATTTGGTGAGGAAGTCTGATGGTTTTCTTTTGTTTCACAAAATAGATAAAGCTGATAAGACAGTCTTTGGGAAATGGAAGCGAAGAAGATGAAAGCAATGTGTTCGTTTCTGGTTTTAGCATTAATAATCTTGTTTTAACAAAACCAACTGTATAGGTTGAAAAACTTTTCAATTATATTGACATTGCATGTATATATAAGCTAATAAGTGTTTTCTCACCCTACTTTTATTGGTTTTGAATGTCCTACAGTGATTCAGCGGATAGATACAGATGACTCAGAAGTGCTGTTATCTCAGAATGCAGACAGCAAAATACAGAAGAAAAAATCGAGCTCAGCTGCAGACACATCGAATGATATACAGACCAAAACCTTAGCAACATCAGACGTTTTTCCATTTATGGATCACTGGAATGCTCAGATTCAGAAAGTTTCTCTCAGGCAAATAATTTCTGAAGAAATAGCAATTCAGGAGAGAGAGGACCTGGTATGGATAGCACCATTTTTAAAATGTGGTTTAGATTCATTACTAGATAGTGAAATAGAGCATGTCTTACTTGGTGACTCATCCTTATGCTGCTGATTACAGCTTGAATTTGTGAGACAAATGCATGCCAATTGGTATTGCTGATTACTGTGATACAGGAGTTTGCTTGAGGTAGATGGTTCTGTTTGAAATCCACAGTCTCATTTAGAATGTAATATTTTGATTGTTTCACAAACAGATCATGCTGAACTTCACTATCCAGGTTAGCATTTGTGTTTGGTTGAATTGTGTTTGATTGCTCAGCTGAAACCAAATATCAGATTGATCTTCCATACCTTTTGTTGTGACAGCAATATAAAAAAGAGTTCTTAGTTGGCTCCATGCCTTGTTTGTTTAGAAGTGTACTGAATTGGTTTTAATTTTTTTTGTAAGGAGAACCCACAACATTCCCAACAGATGAAACATTAAAATAAGTACTTGAGGTTAATCTCAAACAAGTTTCTGTGCCCACTTCTCAGAAAACAGTAACTCTTTAATAAATTTTTACTAGCTCTTTGTTTTCCACACAGAGTTCCCATACCCTGCCTGTTTGTCTTGTGCCTGTTGCTGCCCTCTACTGCCCCACCAATGTTCAGAACAGGCGTTCTTATTTGTAATTGTCTTTGATAAGCAGCTGTCCTAAAGTAGAGGAGCTCTGAACTGGTGTAGAAAATTGTATGAATTAGCCTGTACTTTGAAAATGGCTTGTGGATTCTTTCTTTGAGCTGCATGTATGTGCCCTGCTGATAACAACTACTGTCATGTCCACAGCTTTATTTTCAGTTTGGATTCATGGAGCTTGGCTTTTATTTTGACCACTTTTTTCCTTTTTTTAAAAAAAATCTGAATATTGGAACAATCATTCCAATTGATTCTAGGCTATAATTAGGTCATCTTCTCAGATGACTTCACAAGTAAGAATATTTAACACAACTTCAGATGCACCAAATCAAAATTGTTGCTTAATAATGAAGTGTTGTTTCAACCCCAGGCCCTCAGTATAGAGAAGAGAGGTGAATTTTGCACAAGCTTAGCACTTAGATGGACTGGCCAAAACTTAAATCCCTCCTAAAAATCATCATTTTACTTTGTCAAAATTATGAGGGAGCTCCAGTTGCATTACTTCAAAAGACTGCAGAGTCCTGCAGTGGTGTATAATACAACTCACTTGTCCTTACTTTATGCTGATCAGTGTGGCAGGCTGATATGGCAGGCACATTGTCATTGCTGTGGGTGCATACCAACTGAGTAGATACTTTTGAAATCATAACAAATAATGGCAAAGTTGGATTGGCTCCTCCTTTACTGTATTTTGTTCTAATCAAGAACTTGTAATCTATTTCTTTTGTCTTCTGGGTAGAATCGTGTTCCTTCTACAGCTAAAAAAGACTGTGCTGCTAAACTAAAGGAGAAGCAACTTTTTGAGATGTTTCCAACTATTAATCAAAATTTCTTAATGGATATCTTCAGGGACAACAAGTAAGAAATCTTTTTATTTCTTTGTAAAAATGGTACTCAGTTACAGTCATAAATATTGAGAGTTAATGCTAAAGAATGGCTTTTTCCAAAGTAGCACTTTTTGTTAATCTAAATACAGGCAAAACTAGCTGGTCTTAAAGGCAAAAAGGGTATAAAAACTCTCAGTTTAGACACATTTGTTTTTAGGGTGGAATAGACAGTTTCTTTCACTGGGAGCAGAATGTCTCTAGTTATTGACCACTCACTGACTGTCAGTGAAACTGCACATTTTCTCAAGAGCTGAGGTTTAAATCTAGTGGGAGAAATTAGTGGGTGTGGTAATAGTAGGTGCACAGGAAATAGCATCTGCCCAAGAGGAAAACATCACCTGGTGTTACCTGTGAGTACTTTGCTGCTTACTACAGCCTCTCTGAAGGAATGAGTCATCTCCATCTCTTCCTGCTGACATTCTCTCTTCTGCATAATGTTTCTGGGATATGTGTCTACCTTCTTAAATCCAAGTTTCTGAGAAGTGAACATTTTTTTTCAAGAGAAACATCTTTTTTCATTCTTGGCCATTTGAATGTCTGTCTCTACATATGGGTTTGCATACCTACTTGTCAGTCATGCTGCCTGTCCAAGTTGTTATAAAAATCTTTCCTGTTTAAAATATATTCTTCATCCATTTCTATAATTCGAACACTTCACCATTTCATTTTTCACATTCTAAATTGTTCTCATAGTGTTGCCTTTTCCAAAATCTGTCTTTACTTTTGATCAGTCTGTTCTTGTTAGCTTAAAAAAGAGCAAGAATAAAGGAAAAAAAGGATGTATTAGAAAACTGTTGGCAACTGATGTCTTAATTAAATTTAATAATAAAATTTGACTAAAAATACAAGGATTTTCCCTCATTAAGGTTTCAGAAAACTGAGCTAGTTTTAAATTAGTTTGATCTAACCCTGACAAGAGAAGATTTAAGATGAACTGTCAAAGAGCAGTATTTATTAATATCTCTTTGATTAAGGTAGGATGCAGTTTATTTCAGTATGTCACTGTCCTTTTAATGTTCAAGTGCCCCCCTTGTTACATTTCAGTTGAGCAAGATCACATGCGTGTTGATGCCAGTAATGCCCTACAAGGAATCTGCAAGCCTTTCTTTAATAAGCTGGAATATTCCATTCCAGTGTTTATTTTCATTGTGATCTAGTTATGTAACAATATCAAGGTTTGTAATAATGAATTTAGATAACTATAGCAGCTATTAATATATATTTGTAAAATCACAGATTTTATTTATCCTTTACAGCTACTCTTTAGAACAAACGGAACAGTTTCTGAACTGTGTTCTGGAGGCAGATCCTGTACAAACAGTTATAGCTCAAGACAGTGTTCAGCAAAATGAAATTGTTTCTTCCTACAGTGCTGCAAAGAACCGTGAGAAGAAGGTATGTATTTTTTTTAACCATAGTTACAAACATAACCAAAACTGTGTTAATGAAAACACCCTACCTCCATAATTTCAACAATGCAAATTCCTACAGGCAAAAAAAAGTAAGGAAGAGGATGATCCTTTATGCGAAATGTTTCAAGACTTTGAGTATCCACAATATGATGATTTAAGGGCAGAAGCTTTTTGTCACCAGCAGAAGAGGCAGGAATGTTTGAAAAAGGCTGGAGAGGCCTATCGCATGGGTATGAAGCCTGTGGCAGCTTTTTATGCACATCAGGTAAACAATAATATCGGTTTTTGTCTGAACTTAGGGAAGTACTTAAACACTGAATTGAAAATGATAAGGAAAATATCATGCCTACTAGAGTTGATGAATTTGGTCACTGTTCCCTGTGTGTTATATTGATAGTCACAAGTAAAATCACTTCTGCTAGTAATGATGCTGGCACAGGAAGCTAATGTAACCAAATCTGGTGTGAGACCTCATGAAAAGTGATATCTTAGTCACACATGCTCCTTTGTCTTAGATCTCTCTCACATCACATCCTTGTAAACACCAAGACTTTTGGTCTCCAGGTGGTCTGGCTAGGGTCACTGGAGTGTGACATGGACTGCAACAAACATAATTTTTTTAATCCTCTGTATATGTTGGTGCTGCACTGTTTTTAGACACATCTTCTGTACTTTATAGGAGTCAGACAGGTGTTAAGATGTCATCTTTTGCAAGAATCTTGCTTGCTTTATCCTCCATAAATCTTGGGCAAGATTGCTGCCTGCTGTCTTCGCTTCTTCATTCTGACTATCTTTATGGCTACAGTCTGTCTTGGGTTGGGACAAATGAGGTGTGTATGTCATGCTTTTCACAGTACATCTGGTTATGGAGTGTAGATCTGCTGCTGATCAGTCTTGCATGCTCTGGCCTTGGAGCACAGGCTCTTTGGTCTTGATTCAGGCACATTTCTTAGTATGTACCAGTTTGAGTACTGCTGATCAGTGCTGTTTTTCATACTCTTGGTTTTAAGTATACTCTCATCTCTTCTTGTCATCAGAGTTCCTCTACACTGGTTTCTTGGTGCCTTCACGGGAGACTCCTCCCTTGACATCAAACTTAAAAAATCTCTTACGAATATCTTCAAAGGCTTTTCCTGTAGTTTTCCCCTGATCTAGTAGCATATAAAAATTTGGTAAGAATTCACACTATAGAAGCACTTAATTCTCAATGTATTAAGACAGAACAAAAATGTAATAATAAATCACTTGAATTTGCTTATTCAAAAAGCTTTCATGCAAGTGGTATAAGTCTAAATGTTTAGATTGTTACTGTGCATGTAGGAAGTACTGATTATCAATCTTTATAATGAACCTTTTATGTTTTTTATTCATATTCCTGAATTTTTGAGACAAAGATGTGCAGGGTTTTAAACAGAAATATAATTTCAAGTCCTGTCTTACTTCTCTTCTTATCCATAAGAACAAATAGAATCTATTGTAACTCTGTTGAAATTTATTTATTCTATACTTTAAGTAATAAAAAGGCAAACTAAGCTACCTTTATTCATAAGAAATACTTTATGCTGGGTGGCCATTGTCTTGGGAATCCTTTGCAAGTGGGTTACACAGCTGCTGTCTTGGGTCTGACACTAAAACACTTCAGATGATCCATTTTAAGAAAGTGTAAAACAGACTTTCACTTTGTTCTCTTGAGCCTTTGTCAGTCCAATACCTGGAGTTAAATCTTCCATTGCTTTTCAGACTGTGCCTACAGATCTTCAAGGACATAATTTGTGGCTTTGATCTCTCAGATATTACCATTGAAAGGTTCATGGGAAGGAGTTGGTACTTGTTCACTCTGTAAGGTGACTAAGTGTACTGCTTCTTGCCCTCATTCCAGAAGAGGAATTACTGACCTTGTCAGTCATAAAAGATGTCAAAAGTATTAGGAGAGATAATAGGAATTATTATTACTACAGACATTACATTATTATTAGTAGTATTAGTATTAAAAGTGTTTACCCTTGGCTTGTCTGAAATTTCAGGAATGCATTTGGAAGAATTAACTTCAAATACAATAGTCAGCAGGCTTTTCTTAATCTGTTGCTCAGTTTCTCTGACACTGTTTCAGTATAATTTTAGCAAAATACTTGTAGAAAATAAAAATCTATTGTTAGGAAAATAAGTCTGCAACTCAGTATGGAGTATAACATTATAGCTTATGATTTTGTGCCTTTTCTGCCTTTTTTTTCTCCTTGTAAGGCTTTTGTTATAAAGTCTTCTTTGTGCCAGCTTTGAGTAGTTTCTCACAAACAGATTTCATGAAATCTTCTTGTGAGTAGGTCTCACTGAGCATCTTGCACAAGTTCTGCTACAATTATAAATTTTACTCGTTCAAACTTGAACTAAAAGCACCCTGCTAGTGCTGTCATTTTGAAATTACTGACCAGTGTGGAGCTTAAATTATTTCTCAGTATGTAATAGTCTTGTACTTATGAATAAAGGGTCGTCTTCATGAGCAGAAGATGAAAGAAGCTAATCATGCTGCTGCTGTGCAAATCTTTGAGAGAGTAAATACTTCCTTGCTGCCTATGAATGTCTTGGATTTGCATGGTCTACATGTGGATGAAGCTGTGAATCAGTTGTCCAGAGTGCTGCAGGAAAAAAGTGAAGGTAGGGTTTAGGTAATAATTCTTGTCCCCTAAAAATGATTCTCATTTTCTATTAAGAAATCATGATACATGACAATAATAATGTGCTTTAATAACATCTATGTTAAAAAAACCTAGGCTTTGTGTTGTCTTGTTTTCAAAGTACCCCAATGGAATTGTTTTTCTTTGACATGACAATGATTCTTGTTGCGTTGCTTTCTGTCTTGCCCCCCACCTGCTTCTTTGTAAATCTTCTTCCATTTTACCCTTTTATTATTACTAGTACTGAATATTTGGTCTGTCCTTCCTGACATTTTTAACTGAGATGATAATACAAACATATGTGTCACCATTGCATTGCTTTGTCATAACTATGTTGCTTTTATAATCTTTAAAGAAAAATTACTATATTGGAATTCTAACCACAATGATGATATTGTATTCAATTTCTACATGTAAATGTGAGATTTGAGCTAGCTTTCAGAAACTTCTGTATCAGTTTGTTGGCAGCATCGCTTGAGATCAAAATACTGCTGCTTCCATAAATGTCATTTCATGCAGTTTTGTTTGAGAGCTCATTTTTTCTTGTAGTGGAGAGTTCAAGTACTTAACGAGTGTCCATGCTGTAAAAGATACATTTTCTGCATTACTAGTTTACCCTCTAAATTTAAGCACACCGGGAATCCTTGTATAATAAACAGTTCTTACACAAGCTGCTGCTGCACAAACCTGATGATTCAAAGGAATCATCTACTCCACAGAGTATAAATAAAAGTGTTCAGTGGGGCTTTAGATAACCCTTGTCTTTCAATATACGTCAGGGATAATTAAACTCCTTTTTCTCGTGCAATTCCTGCAATGAAATTTGTATAATTTAAACTGTAACCTAATGCTTTTCAGAACTAAATTTCCAGAACTGTACTTAAATCAGGAATGCTGAAATTGATAGTAGGGGCTCTCTATTCAGTCTACTCACCTAAATCTGAAAAAAAAAAGAAGTAAATTTCACTGTACATGCATGGGAAAAGGATCAATACTGGGAACTTTTTTGCTGGCAGAATTGACAGTAAATAAATATAAAACCTAAATAAAATTATGGTGTCGGGTAGAGTGCTTGAAGAAGCACATCATGTGAACTGATAATTCCAAACTGGCAAATCTTGATTAGTTGTGAAAATCCAGTTTAGTTTATTTTTTTCCTCTTTTTCAGACTCTTCATCAATTTAGGTAACCTCTGCGAAGAGAGCAATTTCTTTTCTTATCAGGACTAAGTGCCCTAATAAAACTCATGGAATGTGTTGATCTGTTGATTTCCATGTTCCAGCATAGCAGAAGATAGTCCAAATAATGTTTCATGTCAAAAGCTGCATTTATATTTTCTTTCTTCTTAATTTCTCATTCAATAAAATATGATTTCTTTATTCACATTAATTTAAGATAAAACATGAAACAATACAGAAGCACCACTTCAAAATTCAGTGATTGACACTCATCTCTTTTAATTTTGCAATTTAAATTTATATCACAGAATGTAAATTCCAATTGAATATTAGATTACAGAAACAGTGAAGCTTCTATGAAATTGGAAGGGTTTTGTGATGATTACAGTATGCATCTTGCAAGCAATCTAGAAAAATTGCTATTTGTATCTAAAATATGCCTATCAGCATGGGAAAGCAAAGCTCTCAATGAATAGTGCGAGTTTTCAGAAGAATGCATGGAAGGGTTATAGTGAATGCCAGGTCTCTGCTGAGGAAGATTTTAACCGTTACAATTCCTGCTGTTGCAGAGTACCAGCAGACTGGTGGTAAACCATATCTCATTGTTATCACGGGAAGAGGAAGCCATAGTCAGGGAGGAGTCGCTCGAATCAGACCAGCAGCTATCAGATACCTCACAAGCCACAACTTCAGGTGAGTTTAGATTTTTGTTACTGATAAATTTTTTTCTTAACCCACATTTAACTAACTGAAAATTGAAGTTTAGTTTTAGAATGCTGTTAAACTACTACACAGATTAGGGCAGGTCTGTTGTTCCAGATTAAATTTGTGTTTTTTCACAAATCCAATGCAGTTGTGTAGCACCTATTAAATGTGAGATCCTTTCCTCTGAGATGGTTTAGTTCTGTATTTCCATTCAAGATTGCTAGCTTTACTGTGAGAAGTTGTTAATCCTGCTTGTTATTGGTTCCTAATACTTGCATTTGTGTTCAGTTTATGAGGGATAGCAATTTAGTAAGTCTGGGCTGGCACCAGTGTGTTTGCTGCTTTTTATATAGAGCAGTGTAGGAAGGTGAGCATGAAGTTGAGACTCAAAAACAGCAATGACTTCCCATTTCCTTCTTGGCTTCTACAAAACAGAAGGATGAAAATCCATTTTGAAAGAGGAGGGAATGAAAGGGTAACAGGAACAGAGGAACAGAATGAATATAACCAAGAATATTGGGCGGCTTTTTCATTTCTCAAATCTTCATCTTAGTTTCTGTTTTTTCTAGGTTTTTCATATGCACATATATTTGACTGAGAACCTTACCACTTTCCTATGTTTGATGAGAATTGAAGGTGATGGCACTGAATGTAGTTCACATGTTGAAGCTTCTTTTTTTCTTGTTTCATAGGTTCACAGAAATAAAACCAGGCTGCCTGAAAGTCATGCTGAATTGAAAAGTTGTGGAAAGAGGAATATAGAAACTGAGGTGTCAATTGACTGCCGGGTAATAGAAAAAAACCCCCATGTTTTGAACAACTGCACTGGTATTTTGTAATCTGTTTTAAAGGAGGATATTTTATTAGAACTGGTCTCAATCTACAGCAAGTGGATTTGTCAGTATGTTTCCAATAAATTTTTGTGTGGAATAGATAGTTTTTTGAATCTGCAAAAGGAAGATACTTAAAAGGATTTGAAATCTCAGAAATGCAGATTAAGAATTTTGCTGAGAAATACATGATGTTTTTAAGGGAAGTTAAGGTACAATTTTTAATATAACTGTCTTCTTAGCATACCTAATCTGCCTTTTGACCCTTACACATTTTGATTGCTGCAGCTTCTGTACTTCTAAAACGTATTATCTTGTACAAATGTATTTTGTAATTCAGAACTTTGTGCTAAACCCTTCAGAAGAGCAGGGGAGAAGCTGAAATTGGGCAACTACTGGTATTTCAAATTCAGTTACATCTGAGTGCTGAGTATTTCCAGGTTTCTTCAAAAATCTGCTGTCTTTTTAGTTGTCATGCTATGATGGATTGACCAGTTCTGTTATCCTTACTTCATTCTAAACTTCTCCAACTATTGAAGGAAGTTGCATAAAGGCCTGTGCATTAAGGCCAGCTCTGTGTTAGGTAATTTGGCAGATTTCATGGGATCTGTTAAGGGGAAAAACACAATGCTGTTATTCAATCTGTTTTGGAGATCCACCTACTGGATTAAAATTGTTTCTTACTTTGTGGCTTTTTAAATGCAGTACTGTTTCACTTTACAAGTATCTAATAATGATGTCTTCATTCTTAGTGTATTGTTTGGTGATTTCCTTGTAGAAAATATGACAATGAGACATTTTATATGTATTTTTAACATCAAAGTGAATGCTAATATTGCAATAGTAATTGTCTAACTGGAAAATCTGGTAGTACAAAAGTTACTCTGACTTTGGTGGTGTTGTATCAGCATCTAGAAATACCCATGTAAAAAGCCAAAACAACATTAAAAAAAAAACAAACAAAACCCTTCAAAAATGAAATATAAACAACTGTACTTAGGCAAGTGTTTCCAGTAAACAATCAGAACACTTTTTAATAGAAATATCTTCTAGAATGTATTGCTATTTTTATTTACATCTTTGCCTTCTGAAAGGCATATGAATTTTTGTTGTAAGGCTCTTTCAGAACAGGTGTGAGTTGTGTATTAGGAATAATATTAATAGATTAGGGATTAATGTGAGGAGTTTTAAAATTTTTAACCACTTTGTATTAAATTTTATCCAGGAACTACATACACATAGAGTTTGTATATGAATCCATATGTGTGTGCAAGTTCTGCAATTTGTATGCATGAGTACTAATAAACAAAGAACTTCTGTGAGAAAAGCTGTCCACAGAAATAGGTTTCACTTGAAAATGTGTCTGCATAAGTTGCTGACAGGCTGTAAGACATGATGTTTCCTGAATATATCTCTATTTACTCTAATACATACACAGTGAATGTGATGCATGGTAGACTTAAAAATGAGTTTGTCGTGCTTCAACAGATACAGTACTCTTTCCCTGGTGATTTCAAGTGGAAGAATAGCTTGAGTAATACTTAATCAAAGGGACTCTTTCTATAATAATAGACTGCCATAATAAGTTTTATATTTTTTCTGAGTAGTTGGTTCATCTGAATTATGTCCTTTTTCTGTTTCCTTCTCTCTGCACTGCTCTGGGAATCAGTGGGTGAAATACAAAAGATCTGTGGTCCCCAAATAGCACTAACAGAGCTGTTTCTGACACTGCATGATGTCCTGTGTGGTGAAGTTCACACTCCATCCTCTGTGACAGTTCCTAAAATGGACTGAGATGCCATTTAGGCACTTGGCCTCAAGACAATAATTCAGACTATCAGCTGTACAAGGTTGCAAATGCTAGAATTGTCTCAGCGGAGCCAAAATCTTTGTTTTGGACCAAGGAACTTCCTTCTGTTCCTGAACAGGTTTTCCTTAGTGCTGCTGTTGATAACAAATGGAGTTGCAGCTCTCTGGGACAACTCTTTGTAGTATAGTTCCTGTTGGTTGGCCGGGGTGGCTGTTGTGTGTTGAGCTGCTTGGGTGCCCAAGCCCTACAGAGATGTGCCTGTAAATAAGGAAGTGCCAACACTTGTGGCTGTTTTGGGAGGCAGCCTGATTCACTTAGCATATTCACACCATTCCCGACATGGACAAAGACAGATTAGATTTTAGTTCAAAAGACAAGCAGAAAAAGTTGTCGTCTTGCCCATCTGTTCATCATAATCCAGTTGACAACTTTACCCTGGAGATGAGAAACACAGCTTTTTACCTTCTTCTGGCTTTGCAAGTGGATGATGATTGCACTTGACTCTCACTTCCCCAGAAAATGCTCTGGCCAGTGTGCTTAGGAATATTTTTGAAGTCGCCGCTTCCTCTTTCAAAATTACCATTGCATTCTAAAAGTGCAAAGCTTAAGGGGACAAAAGAGATTAAAGAATTAAAAGTGCATAACAGTGTCTGGAAGTGGGCTAAGACTTTCCAGAAAGCTTCAGTGTCCTTTCATACTATTTTTTCATCCGTTAGTCCTATTTGGATAAATACATTAAAAATGTTCACGGTAAAATCAGCTCTACCCAGCGCTAGGAGAATTTTTCTCCAGTCTTTCAAAGTCAGTAGAGAAATACACAACTCAAGAGCAGTTTGGAATATTTTTCTCTCTTCCTCCTCTGAATGCCCTGCCTAGTGTAGATTGGTCATTCACCTAGCGTGCCTTGTTTGACTGCCAGCTGAACTTTGATGGAGGTGATGGCTTAAAATCATAGCACTGGCAGAAACAGTCCTGCTTCTATTGGAAGTAATGACAGATCCTCTGTCAGCTTCAACAACTCAAAACAAGGCATTGCAGTTCTGACTCAGAGAAAATACAATGATCCTCTGAAGGATCTCAAACATGTGCTTAAAAGCTGTACTGAGCTGGATACAGAACAGGTCAGAAGATCAGTGCATAGAGTGAAAATAAGTAGAGTTTTATCAGTAAGGATCTCCATGCCTTCAACTACTTGCCAATATTCCAGGAAAACAACACTGGAGTTCTTGTATTTCTCTGATTTTATAGTTGAATTCTTTGAAATACAATTATTTCAAAACAGTATTTCAAAGTAGGTTACGTTTTAGAAGTTCCAGCCATTTTGATGTCTCTTGCAGTTACATCAGTGAGAATCCATGAGAATCCTGAGGTATTGTGTAAATTCTGTATCATCTTATACTTAAAATAGCAGTATTGCTACTGCCACCAGCACTCTGAAATAATGTGCAACTGTTAAAATACCTATTTTGTGTACCACTTTCTATTCTGTTCTTCAACGGCATGCAACTGTGATGAATCGTAGCCTTTTAATATGTGACTTTCCGTGTCTTCTTTTACTATTTTAATAGTTATCCCAAGTTTTAATTTGGGAGAATTATGATTTTTTTAATATGCAAAATTAATGCTCGTGCTAACATTGATGAGTGATCTCAGAGTTAAAAAAAAAAAAGGCCAGAGGTGCAATGAAGAAAGTTGTCTGGAGCAATGTGACTTCAAAAGCATTTCAGTTGATTGTGAAAGTAGTAGGGAAAAATTTTCTTTTTAAAAATATTTCAGGATACCTTGACAATACTTAATGACTTTGGCTTTTGCTTTTAATATCATGTGGTACATCCCCCCTCAAAACCTACCCAAAGCCCAATTGTTCATGCTGTTTCAGCTGAATAAACTCTGCAGAGGATTAAATGACTAGATGTGAATATGCATGTGAAAACACCTAGTATTGCAGCTACCAATTGTAAAAGCTGTTAGGACCAGTACATTGGAAGATACAAATTTCTATTTTTAAATTAAAATAAAAAATGATTTTTTTATTTGTATAAAGTTGTACTTTTGCTGTTAACTATAATTTTGTTTTTTACTGAAATAATTTTGTAATTTGCATTTAGAATTTCTAATATGAAAAGGAATTTACAAAATCTAGTTTAATAAAGGATTTTTGTCACACGTATAGCCTTCTGTCTTTCCTTGGAAAATTATGTTTCAGCTTGTAACGAATTTTTTCAAGTAGTAGTCTTGGAGTTCTGCATGAAAGCCACTTGCTTGGCTTCAGGATACCATCTGTAGGGAGATGAAGCAACCATCTGCAGGAGTAAAAAGGAACAGATTTGTGGCCTGAATTTCAGTGTTGCGAGTGCGAGCTGAATGCTCAAATTACTGAAAACGAGGGTCATGGTTTCAGATTTTTTCGGCCTGAAGTAGCTGAAGAGATGCTGTTGCAGGCTGGCTCACTCGTGGGAGAGTGAGAGCAATAGTGCCTGTCAAGGGGAGGGGCGGTCTGACCACTGGGAGTTTGGGGCATCTGCACAGACCTCATTTAGCAAGAGCCCTTAGGTCAGGGGCAGTGAGGCAGGATCCTGAGGGAGCTCAGCGCTGCACTGTGGTGGATACAGAGCTAGTAAGCCTGGCTTTTCCCAAGCCTGCCCTGTTCTGGTCTGGTGCAGGTGTTTTCCTCTGTATTGTCTGGAAACACCACCTAAGACCAAAGTGCTGGCTGCAGTCTAACTTATTTTATTAGCTCAGTTTGAGGACAACTTGCTGTGACCCAAGATGACTCCTGCAGAATCATTTCTATGGCTTCATTGCCTTGCAGTTTGGGTTGACTGCAGAAACAAGTAAGGCTTGTGCATTTCCACAGCAAAGCCCTAACTCAAGCTGTTCAAGAGAGCAGGGAAAACAGGTTTTGGGAACACATGAAAGCTTGGCAGATGCTGGTTTAAATGTGACGTGGCTGATCCTGAGCCACAGTTTTTAGACCACAGCACTGGTAAATGTCTCGTTGGTTGTGTGCTCCTTACTTATACAACTCCCTGCTGTGGCAGTGCAGCTGAAGGTCCAGCTTGGGCATTAGTCTCTCAAATTGTGATGTTTTAAGTGGAGGTACCACTGCTGGACTTGCCTTCTATCTTGAGTCAGCTTAACTCCTACCCTTGCTAAAGCATTCCATCCTGACTTACCAGCTTCTGTTTCAGTTCATGCCCTTTTTGTCCTGAGTGCTGGGATAGTCTTGAGCACCTCTCTGCTTCCAGATGGGAGTTTGCTCTTCAAAAGCAACCCTGGGGACTTCTGAGAGTCTGTCTCCCTGTCCTTACTTAGAAAAATTATTTGAACTTTAAGACTGAAAACTGCTTGAGACAGTTTGTCAGCTCAAATTATTGGAGCTAAATATTATATAATTAAATGTGTCTGCTAGTGGAATGTGTCAGGTAGCTTGACAATAGGTGGTGCCCTTGCCAACGGCATAGAATGATGGTGGCAGCAGTTCTTACTGTGCCCCTACTAGAGTGAAGTTGTTTCTCTGTATGACAGGTGCTAAAGGATGTTATTACACATCACGTGCTGTTCATTTCTTCCTCAGAGGGAGAACACTGTATTTGGAGTAGTATTTTGGTGAATTTTTTTCTTCTTTACAGGTGGGTGGGGTAGAGTTGTTTTTCAAAATATGCTTGCTGCTCTGTGCTAGAGATGGGCAAGACAAGTTTATTTTTGCACACAGGTTTGAAGATGGTAATGTCAAGGTTTCTCCATCAACTACCTTAGGTTAGTAGGTTGGCTATTTGGGCAGATCAGTCTGTTTGGAGACTGACATAAAGGCATTGTGCTGTTTGGTGAAGTTCTGTGCAACTGTGGATGTTGCTGGTGGCACAATGTTTTTGAAAACCCTGATGGGAAAGGACCCCCTTGATGTTCCTTGATTTTCTGCATCATGGGGCCTGGCTGGGCTAGCACTGGCTTCTCATGAGTAATTGGTAAGCAACTGCATGGATCAGTGTTATTTTTGTATTATCTTGAGAAACAGCACTATCCTTCATAGACATCTGTGGCTAGTCATACACACTGGCCAGGAGAGCAAGCAGTGGAAATCCTCTGCCAGTGCCACAGATTGAATCAGTTTGGTCTGTAAATGGAGAAATGGTAGCCCTGTGGTCTGTGGGAGCTCTCCATGACCGTGTTTGCTCCATGTCAGCTAACTCACAAGGCATTGCCTTGGATTCCTGCCTCTAAATCAGGGTGAAAGTAGGCTTCTTCACCCTTGCCTTTCCAAGTTATCTCCTTTTACTGTCTTGCAGTGCCATATAGACAGGTTGGGCATTTATCAAGATAGCCATGTGAAATAGCTACTTTGATATGCTGAAGATGGCAGAACTTTACACTGGAGGGATGACCTCTGGCTGCCAGGGGGGCTTCCCTTCAGGAGCAGGTCAGGGCACCTATGTCAGGCTCCTGTTCTGAGTCTTCTTTTGGGAAGAAGTCCATGTTTATGGACTAGAAAGGAGAAACTCGCTGGTGAAGCAGAG